GTTACATTCATGATTGTCAATCAGCAGGAATCCCTGCATGTGAACCAGCATTCAGTCATGAAATAAATTATGCGAATAATAATAATAATAATAATAATAATAATGACTGCATACAGGGTTCTGTCCAGCGCCATGACAGAGTACCGGCTCGTTACGCTGCTGCCTGAAACGATTACGCTGCAGATTGGGCCGATACGATGTTTTCATGAGTGGGAAAATATTTAACAAGTGCCGATGGAGTTTCACTACTGACGTCTACGCTGCTATTCGCTAGCGTATTCGCTGCTAAACCTTAGCAGTTATTTGCTCGTGTGGTTTGTTCATTTGTTTCCACAAAAAGGGAATCATTGTAGGTGAATCTAACTGGCTTTGCCCACCTTGCAGGCCTTCTGGCAACAGTACCTGCCAATCCCAACAGCAGTGCAAATGGCAGCAGTGTGGGCGGAGTCAACCCAGGGACCAACCAGGGCGCCAGAGGGTCCTCCGAAGAGCCTTCCCTGCAGGAGGGAACGTCTCAGACAGGTACGGAGGTTTATGTTGCATATTTCTACACACATGCACATTGAACTTGTACATTAATGACAAGGTGCTGTTTTTAATATCTCAACCTGGTCATCACACTCATGACTAAATGCTACCCATGAGCCAGTGGGCAGCATGACACGTGATCACTGGCCTGCAGAGCTGCTGTCAGCTGGAACTAGAACCTGGATGCTGGGCTTTGTTGCAGAGCAGAACTAAATCATTGTTGTACTTCCAAAAAGCCGCTGCTATTGAACAAAACAGTTGAGTGCCCAGAGACGGTGCCGACACTCCTGATCCTGATTGTTTTGTAAGGTGGCAGACCTGGTGTGTTTTGTGTCTTTCTGCAGACAGAGGACAGTCCATTCAGAAGCGCCGCCGTGAAGAGACTCCACCTGAAAGCAGCTCCAAAGTGTGGAAGCAGAGCAAATAGGGTTGAACAGGTCCCTCCATCCATCCGTGTCACGTGGGCGGCGGCGTCTCCTGCTAACTACCAAACAGTGATGTCTGTAGCTCACAGCGTGGTGGAGATAGGATGGATCTGCCCTGTGCTGCTGGCTCCTTATCTGAAGAAGTCCCTATAGCGCCTAATACTTAGACTGTGAGCAGCTCCAGATGACGGTCAGCTGGTACCACGTTCTGATCACAGTGACATGCTAACAGGAGTTCTGGAGGTCGTACTTTACCTCTCAGTGAGAGAAGGACCACGTTTCTAAAGTCTCGACATCAGGTTGTTGAGGCCGTCTCTCGTCTTCCACTACAGTATGGAACTGTAGAAGTGATGAAACCACGAACCAGGGCTGCTCTCCTCTCAACACCCCACGTTTGTACGGTTCAGACGTCACCAGGACACAGTCGACACATGAAACACCATCGGTCCAGTCGTCAGGTGTTCGCTCAGCCCGATCTCAGCAGCGCCGCTCAGTGACCTGACCGCCTCAGCTTCCACACCGGAGTGAGAAAATGGCAGAATGTGACATGATTCCCAGAGTACTGGAGGTTTGTTGTGTGGAGCGGACCGGCTGACATCAGCTGAACCGGATTGAACCCTGACATGAGAAAACGGACCTGATCAACAGTGTTTCATGTACAGAAGATAAAGTCGTGGGTGTGAATCATGTGAGTAACAGAACATTCAGCAGCCGGACCATGAGTCAGGCTTTGCTGAAGGCCGTCACACACTTTGTACATACCCGGGTTTGATTTCCAACTTTTGTATATTTGGTCCTAGAGTTTGACAGCTCCTTTGTAAATAACGTCACCACGACCTGAAAGTCCTCCCGTCAACGTTTTGTCTCCCATGTGATCGTAAATCTATTATTTTTGTATAAAGAATGACCAAATTCTAAATGTATTGAAATCATAATAAAATACAAAATGCTGCATCATCTTTGGCCTGGTGGGCTTTTTTATTTATTCCCATCTTTCTCTTCCCAAGAGGACTCAACCAACAAGCTCTAATGTTTCAGAGGAAACGTTCTTCTCTGATGTTCAGAGAACATTTTAGGGATGTTTTTCTTTTCCGAGCAGCATTCAGAGGACGTTCAAAGGGAGTGCTTGTGATGAACCTTTATTCACATCAAAGTGTGCACATCAAACATACATTTTAGGTAAAGAATATGCAGAGCTACAGTTTCTTCCAATCATAGTTTGACTTTTTATATTTTTGGAAACAGTGCAAAAGGGTAAAAGAACAACAAACGAGTTCAGTATCATCAGAAACAACACAAACAGCAGGAGGACAGAAGACACAAAGAAACTCACACTTGTAATGAAACAGAAGGTTTTCCTGCCATGTGACTCCACCTACAGCAGCTTTAAACTACGTGGACGGTGACCACCTGGAAGCTACAAGCGTCATGCACGCCCTCTAGTGGTGTTAAAACAAAAACACTGCATTTAAACAGCGTTCACAGAATACGGCGACGGTGAGCGTTTGGCTTGTTTCAGCGGCACCACATCTGGAGGGACTGCAGTTGATATTTTTTCAGAACAGGTTTGATGGAGTCCGATCAGAGCAGTCAGGCTGTTTCCTCTCCAGACGTAAGGAAGAAGGCTGGGCGTGTGCTGGATCTGTGCTCAGGTGTCTTTTATCTACGTAGTCCAAAGTTGTTCATTTTTGGCCTCATGTTTTTCGCAGTTACTCAAACTTCCTGCTCCTCTTCCAGCAGGACGTCACATTAACCCAACTAAAGATATGCTGGTATGAAGTAGTTTTTTCTTTATCAGACAGTGAGTATTTAGGTAGGAGCTGTTTTTACCTTTGACATGCTTCGACTGTCACTGACGTCTGTGGTGTTTCCTAAAAAACACTCATTGTCTGATAATAAAGAAGCCTTATACCAGTAGTCAGAGTAGACAAAGAGAACCCAAACCCAAAAGCTATGCTGGTTTCTGATCAAAGGTCTTTCAGTACGATCAAGCCATCACGGGGAAGTTTCTTCTGTAGGTCTTGCGAACAACCACCGTGGCGACTCCCTTCACGTCCTTCAGCCGGTCGGAGTCGAAGTCCACCAGGAGCTTCCTGACGCCGGTCCTCGTGGGAGAGAAGGAGAGCTTCATAGAAACCTTCTGGCCTGGAGAAATAGCTCCGCTGAAAAAGAAGACGGATGCTGATGTTTAGCGTCATTTACTTTTAATTCACGCTGCAAGTTTGTCGATGGCCTCTCGACCCTCTGCTCAGTCCTCACAGGCCTGACTTACCTGACGTGGATCTGAGAGGCGGACAGCAGGCCGGCCCCCTCCACAGTGAACACGCCCCCGTTCAGGGGAAGCGGTAAAGGGTTGGTGAAGGAGACGAAGGCTGTCACCTGCTCCCATATGGCAGCCTTCCCAGGAACCTGACGACAGAGGAGTCAGCTCCGTTATGTTTGAGCTCCTTCATAGACATGCATCCATCCTGCTCGTCTGACCGAACGTGTTGGCTTCATGTCTGAATGCTCACCGTGGTCAAGTTTCTGTTAAAGTGAGCTGAGCCATTAACAGGTGAGCAGGACTATTTCAAGCTGTGTGGAAGGTTTATGCAACACGTTTTCCACAATTCAGCATCAGTATTGATCAGAGAAGCTTTCTCACACACTTGGCTCTACAATTTCAATTCTATCAGGCAACGACATGCAATGTCCATAACGATAAAACTTTACTGCAAGAACCCAGACGAACAGCTTAGTGATTAATAACAGCCACCAATAATGAATGGAAGTTGTCTTTGTCCCCACAATATGTGAAGATGAGCTGAACTTGGTTTCTTCCAGCTGTTTAGAACGATTCCCTCTGAGTTAGTTCATAACCTGCAGCCTCTGTCTGTCTGAATGCAGCAACGGAAACGTGACCGATGACGGAGCAGAACGCTGTCACTTTAACGGCTTCAGGCAGCAATGTTCCACGTCACATGTCTGAAAGGGCTTGAAGATGCACATGACATCTTAAACACAAAATATTTGAAAAAAGACGAGACACTAGAAAAAGCGTGAGATTTGTGGGACCAATGCTTTCTGTGGCAGTAAATTTGAAGCAGCTGCAGGAACTGAACATTCCTGTTTTAGCTTTCAGTCCTTGCAGGTCTAATCTGGTCAGTTTTTGGTCTTCAGTATTAAATGAACTTTCACAGTGGTAACCTTAAGTATGGATTTATGTTTTCTACGCATGTGGAGCTTGTGTTTATTCGTAAATACTGGGCCTCCAAGATAAATGTGTAAAATGCAGCTACTATCATTCAGGAAACATCAACATTTTAAATAATTTGTGGAGAGATTTGCTGCTGCAGCCGAGACTTACTGAGACAAGCACATTTAAACAGCTCATGCTGTGAATCAGCTAAACGCTGTCGTGGGCTGTACCTGTACGTGGATCTCAGGCATGCTCAGTGGGATGTTGGCCACAGTCATGACGGGTTCGCTCTCCCCCGGAGCGTCTAGGAAAGCCTTCACCTGGATCAGGTGATGCTCAGAGGCACACCTGGCATAGTCCTCGTAGTGCAGACGCAGCACTTGTTTGTGGGCTGAACACACATACAGACAATATTAAGCAGTGAAGTGATGCACCACCTGCTACAACATGAGAGGAAACTGTTCACAGAGACATCCCTGAAGTTCTGCTGACCTCTGTGAGCCGGGACAGTCACGGCGGTCGTCTGCCTCTGACACTCCCCCCGGTGGAGCGAATTGTACGTTACAGCCATCACCAGCATGGTCAGCTGAGCAGTAGCATCTTTGCCTCCGTCATTCGTCACCTGCAGACAGAATGGATTCTTCCTCAGTAAGACGCTGACACACAGAGTGAACCGAGCAAAGCACAGAAACACAGTCTGGTCCCACCAACAGCTCCTGATCCTCTGGCAGTGAACAGTTCACTCATTTGATCACATCATCCATCCACTCAGTCATCCAGCTACAGTCTGAACAATCCACACCTCAACAATCACATCAAAGTCCGTCCCAAATACAGGCTGAGCATGCTTGATTGACAGCTGCAGTTGTCCTGGTTCTGTGCTCTCATTGGTTGGCTCGGTGACCCGACGACCCGCCTTCTCGAACACTTCCCTCTCCTTCCTGGAGCCTGTGGAGAGAACAGACAGAAAACATGAGCGTTAGTCAGAGATGGCAGCAGTGCATGTGACACACCAACTGAATCAGAAGAAGGATTTCTGAGCAGGTTTGTGACTGTGAGCAGCTGACTAACCTTCAGGATACTTGTAGTGGAGCGTGACATCTTCTCTGTGGTCTCCATAAACACTTTTGGTGCTGATGTTCCTCCCCACGCTGCTCTGATCCACTTTGACCTGTAAGAAGACCCACAGCAGTCATCACCAGTCAACCTGTGTGTTCCTGAAAAGTTCCTGAACAGTGCAGAGCTGCTGCTGTTGTTGCTTCGCCAATAAGTCAACAGTGAAAGCAGAAGCCTGACCTTCTTGCGCTGGCCGTCTGGTTGGACCATCCAGTAGGTGATGTCAGCGTTCACCTCAGCGAATATGAACGGAGCGTCGTACTTCACGGCCAGATTTCCCTCCTTGATGGCCGTCACTGGACACGGACCGCAGCAGAACTCACCTGAGGAGCAAACAGTCATTCATTTAAAGGCTTTCTGGAATCAGCAGATAATCAATACAGTGACAGGAACCCAACATGGTGGTTCAGTTTGATGATCAGGTGAACAAGAAGCTCAAAACCAGCTTTCAATCTGACGTTTCACACTCATATGACAGAACAGAAACCCAGCAGTGACGGTCCTGACAGCAGGTCGTCCTGATGCTCATCACTGAACAGATGTGAGTGAACGAGTCTGGACCGTACCGTCGCTCAGTTCTTGAGGGGTGGGGTCCAAAACCTGCCAGCCGTCATTTCCTCTGGGGAGATCTTCTCTTTTCATCCAGGACTCGACCCAACAGTGGAAGTTCCTACAATCATGAGGACAGAAGAGACCCCAGATTAACTTAAATGACCTGATTATCATCCTCATCATCCTCATCAGCTGTGTGTGTGTGTGTGTGTGTGTGTGTGTGTGTGTGAGATGCTACCAGCTGCTGTCGGTCCTGTTTCTGCTCTCAAGGCTGTGCAGCTCCTCGTCGAACAGGAAGTCGATGGAGAGGTTTCCATCCACATCGTGGGCTGAAGCGAAGTTGGTGATGAGGCGCGTTGGGATTCCCAGACAGCGCAGCACTTTGAACAGATCACACGCAGCCTTTATTCCTCTCCTCCTCTAAACTGAGCTCCTCAAACTGGCTTCTGTTCATTGTTTCACAACAGGTGACATGAATGCACCTGTGCTGACTCTGAGGTGTTGCAGTGTTTCACACTCAGGTCAGATGATTTGTGGACACATTTTATATGTAGAGAAGCTTTGTTTAGTATCAATAGCTGCAGACTGGATGATTAAAGGATCAGCTCCACCATGTGTGAACCGGGACATTCTCACCTGTACACGCGACACCTGCAAACACCCAGCACTGGCCATATTTAACCGCTCTGACCCCGGCCGTGCTCCACTGTCGGAGGATGGGCACGCTGCCGTTCCATCGATACGGGGCCACTCCATCAGAGTACGGCTCAGTCCAGCGTCCGGCCAACACGCCCCTGTCGCCTTCAGAGTTCACCTGGACAGACCACATGTGGAGGAGACGCCTTTAAACGTGGGACTCTGCATGAAGCTCAGGTTTCAATACGACATGTTTTCATGACAGTTTACATGATGTGTCCTTTAGGAGGAGATCACATGTCCAACATGAGGCTTCACATCTACAGGGCGTCACATTTCTCGTGATGAAGTTTCAGTTTGTGTTGAAACATGTGTTTGTTCACAGGGTCAGGGACTGTCAGTGTCTCTGTCTATCTGATGTGCTTCCACTGCAACCAGCTAAACTAAATCCCCGTGTGTCCTCTCACTGTAACCGGACTGTTTCTTCAGCACAGAGGAGAACAGTGGGTCACCATGGCAGTGATGGTCCTGCTGACGTAGACGGGGTCAGATCTGCGCTCAGCGTCCATCTGTGAGTTTCTCAGGGCGTCTTTGGAGTTGTCCAGGACTTCAAAACAGATGTCCATCACGTCGTCCTCGAACTGAGAAAGAAAATCCAGATAAACATGAGAGATGAAGCAGACAACAGAGAAGTTTAGCTGCTGAGGCTTCTCAGGCTGTTTTCTAAGAATACACGGAGGTTAGTGTCAGACGGGTGTGAAGGAGTCTGCTCCACTCCTCCTCCACCTCCCGTCTGCTCGTCTTCCTCTCTGTCTCCAGCCAGCTGTGAAGGACGAGCTCTTGTTTGTGTGGTTGGGTTGCATTCTGTCACCTCTCCGTCCAACAAACACATTTCCTGATGCAGTGAAAACCCTGAATCTCTGCTGTCACACTGCTGTGACCATTCACACCAAGCAGCCACCGGCCTCACACACAGTCCATCCACACCATGAGTGTGTGTGTGTGTGTGTGTGTGTGTGTCCGTTACCTGTCCGTAATTCCAGGGAATGCTGCTGATGTGATCCCAGGATCCCATGTAAATGGTTCCGTCTTCGTTCATGACGTACTCCTGGAGCAGACGCTCATCGGGCAGGTGCACCACATCATCTGGGCCAAACAAACACACGGCAGAGCGTCACATCCTTCTGCCGTTGTGGCGGCGGGATAACAAACACCAACAAAGGTCAGAGGTGCTGCAAATGTTCTCTGTCCTCGATGCGCCGCTTCAGACAATCTGCTGTTAACTTTGACAAACAGAAGCAGCCAACAAACAAAGAGCTCTGAAACAGCTGATATGAATTCTCCAAATGTCTGAAGGACTCGATGAGAAGAACACGACGCTGATGATCTGACTCCATCATTTGGTGTTTGGATGACGTTGCTGGAAAAGTGTGTCTCAGAGAGAGAATGCTGAGTTCCACACATGTGGTCTGACATGTGGTGACCTTTGGTGCGGTTCATCAGAAGATGAGCCTGAAGCATCTGCTCATCTTCCCCTTATGGACTCTAACTAATCCAAAGCAGTGAGAGAACACATCCAGTTTGTTCTGTCGATGCAGAAAAGTGTAAAATCTGCAGGCAGTGAGTGAAGTCCTGCTGTAGAAAGAAGAAAACAGATTCTGTGCTTTACCTTTGCACCACGGGTTGAACAGCAGGTGGAACCTGACTCGGTCCATCTTCTCTACGATGTGTCCGTCTGGTGACACCACCAGCACAGCCAGACGGTACTGGCCAATGACGGCGTCGGCTGGGCTGTGCAGAGTCAGCAGCGCTTCATCCTGAGCTCCCTGCTGGCTAAACCACCACTTGTCTCCGGCCCCTCGCTCCTTCTGAAGCTTGATCACCACCTCGTCTCTTTTACCTGAGGACACAGGAACGAAGCTGGTTGGATCAGCAGCAGAAAACCCAGAGTACAAGAAGGACACGTGCACTGTTCCCATCAGGAGCATCCTAAAGCTCCTCCAGGCCGTGCAGAAGGTGAAAATCAGCAGGTGTTAAAAAGAAACTATTGCTTCATGTGAGAAAAATGCAGGAAATACATGTTGTTATATGAATGAAAGAGAAGATTCATGAGAAGAAAAGGTTTAGTTCCAGTCAGGACGGCTGCTGGTCCTTCTGCTGTCAGCAGATCCCACAAGCCAACCAACACCGCTGTCTATAACTGGTTGGAACATTTCTGTAGTTTTTCTTCAGGGGACGAAACACAGGCTGCCAAGTTACTGACAGCTTGACATGATGACATGTTTAGTTTATCTGATCAGCAGGATTCCAGTGATGGAAATCAATAACTTAACTTTCAGAGAAGCTTCATTTTCAGACTTAATGCCTAAAACTGCTCATATATTTGCTGCCCTCATTGTTGTTTGGAAGTAAAGATTTAAAGCTACAGCAGCTGATACTTCAGTAGGAAGAGAACAGCTTTGAGTTCGGAATATGTTTTGAATTTAACTTGAGAGATGCTCAGTATTTCACATGTTGGGCTTCTTCTTGCTGCGGATGCTACGGATACAAACGTCCTGCCTGTGTGAACGCTGGACAGTAAACAACGACTTCTGAATGACGGCTGTCATCGTCCCCGTGCATCTCAGGAGGTTTATCATCTAAACCAGGTTTTGATAAAAGACTAAGAAGTGCAGCCACACAGCAGCTTGAAGCTACATACAGTCACAACCAGCTGTTATTACAAAGTGTAACACAGCTCCAGACTTTGGCTCCATAATTAGAAACCAGAGCTGCGTCTCCAGGCCCGACTCACCGAGGTGCAGCACCAGGTCCAGGTGGTGTCCGGGGGGCAGAGAGTCGGAGCACTGCAGCGTTATGGAGAAGGGCTGACCTCTGCGGACGATCAAACGCTCTCGATCGATCTCCCTGGTGCGGTGGGCCAGGTTGTTGTCCCGACTCCTCACATCCACGTCCGTGATGAAACCTAAGGAGAGCAGCAGAGGCACAGCTTCAGTCTGCCGCCTGTGATGCAAACGTTTCCCTTCAGTAGCGCAGCGTCACGGCTAAAGATGAAGGGAATCGTCTGACATGCGGGGAAATGAGCTGCTGTAAGATTCTTATCTTACAGATGGGACACGTCTTATCTCAGTCGTGTGTTTTTCCTTCTAAATTCAGCTGAACAAACACCCCAGACTTGTAGAACTAATGTTTTTGCACCATATTTACCGTCTGTTTCAGCCCAGCCTGGTCCCAGCTGGGCCTAAGAGCTGCCCTTGCATTTGTTACAGGAATTCAGACGGCCGTGTCACACCCGCACGTTTAATCATGCATCAGCACATTATTCCACATGTCTCACAATCTGGTCTGAGATCAGCGAGAGAGCGAGGAAGCCGTAAACACTAAGTAATGACAACAGCACAGCCACAGACTGATCATCCTCACCCTTGCGGCTGGCCATGGCAGATCTGTTCCTCTCAGTGTCGCTCCAAGTGTCTTCACACCGTTTCTTTTCTCTTCCACCACAGAGCTGTATTTATACACAGCCAGCCTTTGGCCCTCCCACCAATCCAGCACAGACTCACCCCAAAACACTCACCCGCTCCGCCTCACCTCCTTCTGCAACCTCTGACATCACTTCTCAAAAACCGGCAGTGCTCTGGATGTCTGCACGCATGCCTGTGTTTGCATTGAGCGCCTGATGTTTAAAGTGTCTCATCCCTTCAGACACTGAGCTCTTTGTTGCTGTGTCTGTCGGAGGCTGGACGGTGTGTGTCCATATAGGAGATTAGCACTGTTCCAGTTCATGGAGAAGTAAAATCCACCTCTCTGGTCAGACTGTGACCTCGCTGTGTGTTCTCACCACCGCTCTCTGAAGGGAGTGACGCCATTGTTCTGACTTCAGTCATACATGAAGAGTTCGTTTGCAGAAACAGATCCCTCCATCTGCACAAACCTTCAGAAACCTTCTGTTCCATCATCTGCCTGAGACAACATCAACCAAACTTCAGTTATCTCTGTTGTTGTCACATCCACTCAGCTTCAGTCTGACTGGTATCATCTCAAGCAAACAACAAAATAATAAGTTTTCTGAAAATCTACAAAACTGGAGGTATCTGTTTTTGTAGATGAACTCTTCACATGAAGCATGAAAGGACACACAGTCAACCTGCTGCTGATCTGAACCAGCTCATGCGATGAATCTCCACGTGAGGCTGAAGAGCTTCGTGCTGCTTTAATGTAAATGGTCAGAAAAGCCACCGTGTGTGTCGTCATGCTGCCTGCATGTGGAGTAAAGATCAAGAAGTACAGTCAGGTAGGAGATGAACAATGAACCTCTTGTTAGGGCGAAATGAACATCTCAGCCAAACGTCTGATCGACTGCAGAATGATCAGCTCGTTGGAATCCCTCTCAGACTTCTCTATCCAGACTTTACATCTCTGTGCAATCTCTGTCTGCAGTACAGTCAGTTGGTGCCTGTAATTACCTTCCAGGGAACAATCTGACCCCGAGACACAAGAAGCACAGCTGGAAGTCACCGACTAGCTCCTCTGACGACCTCTGGTGCCGACACCGAGACGTCTCTAAACGAGACACCTTAACAAAATGAAGAGGCTTACAGCTACAGCTTCATGATTTTAAGATGTTTTCCCATCTTCAAAATTCCACCAAAATGTGGTACACACCCACAGGCCTCAGCCGAGCCTGTGTTCAGCGCTAGTTAGCAAATATTAGCATGTTAACATGCAAAAGCAGGATGATAATGATACAGATAAGTGACAAATTAAAGGAAAAACCATCATGTGCCACCAGAACAGCTTCAGTGCTCCACTGTGCTGGACACGATGCTTCCAAAGTTCCCTCAATCACTGTTAAGATACCGTTGGTGGGGAGTGCTCGCTAACACACTGGTCCACAGCCTCCCACTGGAGCTCCACTGGGCTGAGAGCTGGTCACTCCTCAAACCATTCAGTGACCCTGGTGCTCGATGGATGGGAGTGTGGTCATCCTATAACAGACCGCTCCCATCAGGGTAGACGGGTTTCATTTAGAATTAAAGCCGCAAGCGGCGACGGACGGGTCCTCGCCCTACGCTTGTCGGCCTTTGCGCACGGCGGGGTGTGGGGCAAACCTGCTCCGGGCAGGACTGTGATCCGGCATGTGGAGTTTGGGGCAGATCGGAGCAAGTGTGGCCTAGTTACGAGCCACTTCCTGTTTAGTGGCGAGCCGCGGCGGCGTGCGTGTTTGCCGG